CCAGCATCTTTTTGGCTCACCGTCCGCCGACTAACACGGGCCTAACGCCAAATCCCCCCTCTTGCTCCGGGGCCCTACCGCGAGGAGAGTTAGTGGCTCTGCTTCTTTTCTTGGACCTGCCTGCGTCGTTGCCTCTCTTCGCCAACCGTCCCTTTGAGTCGATCCGATTCATGGGCAATTTTAACCTGCCACCGGCGTTAAGACAGACTCGTGTCGTGAGCGTTGCTTTCCTTTCTGGTGGCCGGCCCTCTGCTCTTTTCGTTCGTACAGTACCTCGCTTGCTGCCCATTTCCATCTTCGTATACGAGCAGTCTGAGTACCTTGGCTATTCTCGTCCGACAGGACAGCTAGCGCTCGTACTCTGGTGCCCCCCCACGACAGGCTGTTCAATATCATGGACGTCGCATCGCAACCTGACAGCGGGCCCGGAGCCATGGCGTCGATCCTGCCAGACTCTGATACACAGTCTGCTTCATCTCGGGCCTCTCCACATCCATCGCCGTTGCAGCATAGCACCATCCGCGAGGAATTAGACGACGAGGACGAGGACGAGGACGACGAGTATTACAGGGACTACCAGCGAGACTACGACCAGGAGTACCACCAGGAGTACCAACAAGGCCACCATCAGGACGGCCACCACCACCAAGAAGACCGCCGTCATCTCCATCTCCAGACCGACCTCGACCCCGGAACAACCACTGCTACCACCGCCACTGCCGTTCCTGTCCCTCCGGCCGCCATCCGCACTAGCATCGCCACCAGTCACAGTCGTTCCCAGACGCTCGACTACGTAGATACATCTGCTCCCACCGTCATCTCTCCGGTAGTTGCCTCGTCTCTTCCCTTTCGCTTCTCCGGTCCCATCAAGCGGAAGCCCGTGTCCAACACTGCGGCGTTGTCTTCGCTTGTCACGCAGTATCTTACCCAGGGCTCGCCTCGGGTGAACACCACCACCATCGACCTGCCCAAGCCCGATCACAGATTCGCGCGGTCACCATCCGTCGACAGTCCCACCTTCTACGAGTACCCTGCCTCTGTCAAGGCCCCGGCGCAAGCTCCTCAACAGTGAGTATCTTTCTTCTCTGTCTCTGTCTCTCGCTCTCTCTCTCTTACACACGCCTACACGCCTACACACACACCTACGCACACCTCACCTCACCTCCCTCTTCTCTTGTTTCTCTCTTCTGTCTTCTATTACACACACCCCTGTCTAGAATAGAAGCAGACACACGTCGTGCCATTGTCCAAGCATAGAGTGCAGAATCTAACTCGAATTCCCCTTCAGAGAGTCCCAATCCAGAACAGCGCCGGCGCCAAGCGACGACGAAACCGTTACTGCCTCGGGAAACATTTCCACCCACGGTGGGCCTTATTCCGCTGAAACAGCTGACTCGGAGCTCTCTGATGTCCAGTCAGTGTACGACGATTTGCTCCCAGATCTGACACCCGACGGCACTCCCGACGGTGCTTCTGTCAAAGCTCACAACCACATCACGGACGCCACCTCCGACGTCGAGTCCGTTTACGACGACGACGACGACGACAACAACTCAAATCCTCCTTCATCTCCCCCCATGTTAGCACCAATCAAGCACGCGCCTCCGCATCTACGGCTAGAAAAAGTCGACCCCTCCGCCAGGACAGGTGAAGGGCCGGATTCATACATAGACGACTCGCCACAGTCTGCAGCAATAGACGGGTCGCCCAAGCTGAACAAACCGTTGCCGCGGTCACCAGGCGCAACCTCTCCACTGGCGTCCATTTTTGGTTGGGGAAATCCTTCACCTTCGGTCACGGATTTCTCGTCCCTCCCCTCCCCATCTCCTTTGTCACCGACCGCTAAGGGCTCGGCCAATGACAATCGACGTTCAACGAACAGTATATCATCCAGGCGGCACACAAAGCCCAATGCAACAACCACTCTTGCCCAACAACGTGAATCCTTCTTCTCCACGCACTCACCACACATTTCCCAAAATACAGCCTTGGTCGACGAGATGGAGGAAGAGCTGAAAGCTATTAGCTCCGAGCTGGCTGCATCTATCCGCCGCGAGATCGACCTGGAAGACTTGGCCGACAGGCTCCAGGAGCAAATCAACAGCGGCCCCCAGCCGGCCGGCAGCAAGAGAACAAGCGATTACTTTTCCGACTCTGGCCATAGCACGGCCAAGCTCGGCGAGTTCGAATTGGGCCGAGACGAATTGGAAAAGGTTCAGAGGAGGTCGGAGCAGGAGAAAGCTTCCCTCCGCCTTGAACTGACATCCAAATTACAAGAAGAGAGGGAAAAGCGAAAGGACCTCGACCAGAAGATTAGGCAGCTGCAAGAGAGAGCGTCTGAAGTGGACGTGGTCGAGATCAACAACCTCGACGCCAGCGAGCGCATCAAGGAACTGGAGAACACATGCGAAGAACTGAGGCGGAAACTGTCAGAAGAGCGCCAATCCAAGGCCAACTTTGAAGACATTCTATCCGCCCTCAAGGGCCAGCTGCAGGAAGCCTCCGACGAGCGAGATAATCTCCGTGATGAGGTCGTTCCGGAGCTCAAGGCGCGAGTCGAAGGCCTGGAGACGGAGGCGGCCGAGTACGCTAATTTGACTTACGAGTCCTCCAGGATGCAGCAGGAGCTTCACACTCTGAAGCGGGAGAACAGCTCACTGCGCAACTCCGTGGCTGGCGGCGTGGAAGACTTGCCCACCAAGCGAATGTCGGTGATAGGCTTGTCAGGCCTTTCCGGCCTGGGGGGCTTGTCTAGGTCGAACTCGGTGGGCCTTGGACGCTCAAACTCGGTTGCAAATCCTCGAAACCGGGCGCCTCCCGGAGTTGGTGGCCTCAAGAGATCCGATAGCTTCAAGGCTGCTACGCAGGGCGAGTCTCGAGATACTTTGCTCGAGCGATTGAAAGACGTGGAAGAGCAGCGTGATGCTCTTCACGGCGCTCTCAAGAGTCTCTTGGAACGACACGAGTTCCAAAATCGGGAGTACCAGAAGAAGATTCGGACGTTGGAGAATGAGCGCCAGCGACTCACAAACGTCTCGCCAAGGAAAGCTGGCTTCGAAAAGGACATGTCCAAGCTGCGGACGGAAATCAATCTCCTGCGACGACGTGCTGAAGATGCCCTCGAGCAGAAATGGCAGGTTGAAAAGGGCTTAGGCGGCCTGAAGATTGATCTTGACCGAGCTGAAGAAGAGATTCAGTCTCTTCGTAGTCTCCTCGAGGAGAATGATATTCTGATTCCTCCCTCCCTTGCTCGCCAGAGCAGCTCTAGCGACTACTCTGCACGAGAGCCCGTTACCTCCGAGTCTCTTCGAAATGCGTACGCGGAGTTACAAGCTTCATACGCCGAGTCTCTAGAGCGCATCCGCCAGCTGGAATCGGACTCTAGCTCCGACGAGGAGACCAAGGAGGCCATGGAGCGCCTGGAGCGTTCACTCTCCGCCGCAGTTTTGGAGCGTGACGCAGCCAGGAGGGAGATTGACCAGCAAAAGATTCAGATCAATATCCTCGCGGCAAGTGATGCCGAATCAGTCGCAGCCGACAACACCCTGGCAGAGCAGCTCAAAGAGTCTGCCGAGCTCATCGAACAGCTCACGGCTCAGGTTCGACAGCAGCTAGATACCAACTCCGAGCTTCGAGAGCGTCTGGAAGCTGCTGTCGCCAGGGGAGAGGCTGATCGCAAGACCAACTCACAGCGCATTTCGGAGCTCCAGGAGCGTCTTCGTGTTCTGGAAGACCAGGTCGTCGCCGCCCAGACTGCATCAGAGGACCGCGTCGTCCGCCACGAAGAGGAGGTTGCCAGACTGCGTGAGGCGCACAATGAGCAGCTGCGTCGCCTTCAGGCCGACCCCTCTGATGGCCCCGCGCACAAGTCCGGCCCCAAGCCGCTGCTGAGCACCAAGCCCATCGCTGCCAAGAGCCTCGAGGAAGAGGCCGATATGAAGACGCTTCGGGCGCGTGTCCTTGAGCTTGAAAAGGCTCTGGCCGAAGCCGAGGACGAGATGCAAGAGGTCGTGGCTAAGATGAACATGGCTCAAGTGGAAGTCCTCAACCTCCAGGAGGACCGTGAGGCCGCAGTTCGGGAGACTAGGCGACTTGCAGAGCTGCTGAAGAAGGAGCAGTCCAAGGCCGGCTTTGGCGGATTCTTTTCTGCTCGAAGCTGAGAGGCGTGGTTTGACAAACGAGCGCCATTACCATAATACTAATTCAAGAGGTGGAATGTATGGATTAAGTCAAACAGCATTCAGCGATTGGAGTTTGCTTTGCTTTGCATCTGCATGATGATGGCATTATTCTGACGCCCAATAGAGTCGGCGGTTGTGTGAATTTGGGATTTTCTTTTCTTTCTCATCTTTTGAACAAGACTCGATCAAAATTACCGGCGCTTCAAGAAGCTATATAGGAGTTTGGAGTTTTCTTTCTTTCTTTCTCTCTATTTTTGCGTGGGACACTTGGGAACAGCCTCCCCCAAAAAGAGACCGGCCTTTACACATGTTTTTATATACAACGCAACCATTCTGGGTTTTTGGGCACTACAGCTCGAAGAAAAGCTTGAAAACAGTCTTGCATTACAACACACGCCGTTGGAGAAAGTGCATGGAGGGGGATATTATCTTGCATACTATCTAGAAATGTTTCATCCTAATATTTGTTTTACTAGTGCTTTTGGCAAAGGCATGCAGAAGGGAGGGGCGACGGGTTGAATTGTGTACTTGTATATAGAAGTTAGTTTTTTGCAGAAATAGCAGATTGCAATGTTGATTATTCGAAAAGAAAGTACGTGTGATGCTGGCAAGTTGTCTGACAAAATCTCAACATCTCCTGCCGTCACAGGGTGACTTACATGTGGCTTTCAACATGGTGAACTCTCTCTTCCTCTCTCTCTCCTTTCTTTTTCCCTCATCCAATTCAACAACCATCGCTTATTCAAACTACAGTCTATCCTTTTTTCCCAAGTATTCTATCGATTATCCGCCCTTGAAATAAAAAAAGGTGTTTCCATCATGTTATCGGCAAAAGCTCACTTTGTCTTTTGGGCACTCTCCTTCATCTCTGTCCTAGCGCAGCCGCTCCGGCCTTGGCTCCAAAAGCTATTCGAAGCCGACGACGAGGTGCAGGGCATCTTTAAGCATGCAGTTGTCTACTACGGCGTCTGGCTATGCTTCTACATTGTCGAACTGAGGACGCGGCCGCCTCTTCACGGGATGCCGCCCCGACACGATCGACGGCCGCCGGGCTTGGGATGGTATCCTTGGGTTGTTGGAGGATGGGCCTTGAGGAACAGGGATTGGCTTTTTGAACTTGGCACGGCGCTCATGTGTTTGATTGTGGGGGATGCAGCGTTATGGGCGAGCGGCGTTGAGGAGGAAGAGGAGTGGGTTAGGGGGAAGATTGTGAGGGTGTTGGGGACGTATATGTATCTCGGGACGGTTGATCCGGTTTGGCGAAACGTGAGTTTCCTCTTTTCTTTTTTCTTCGTTTGAAGTTGTTGGACTTTTTGACGCTGAACGGGTTCGGGATAATAGCAGCTGGGGCACGATATGATGCTCTTTTCGAACGCCGTGCTGGAGCTGGTGTTTCGTAACGCGCTGGTCTCAACTGCATCCATTGGGGCGCTGGCTATTACGGTGGAAACTGCAGCGTTTGTCTATACAGGGGAGCCATTTGATGTTTTCGAGTTTTGGTTTGGGGGGGCGACGAGACCGCACCAGATCTTGGTCCTGGTATTGCTTCTGGCGCCTTTCACGGACCTGGCAGACACGGTATGAAACGATGTTGGTGTTTCTTTGTATGAGAGGAGGCTGACTTGGTGTGTGTAGGTGATCTATATGGTTCTCAGGAGACACGACTACCAGGAATACGTGGAGCAGATGAACGAATTGATTCGGCTACGGTCTTTCTCCGTGGTTGTGGAGAGATTTTGGGTGATGTTTTGGTTGTCGGTGATGTATTACGTGCTCGTGGTTTTCAGTGTGATGAGCTTGTTGTGGGAGATGGCTGGAGATGGTATTTGGGGAAACTTTTCAAGCTGGATTGGTGTTTGGTAGGGTTACTGGAGGGTGATGGTGTTTTTTTTTTGTGTATATTGGTTAGGCAGCGAGTGTGATAGCGAATAACAGCGAACATTATAGATTGATTCAATGACACTTCAATTAATTTGAAGAGCACATACATAGAGTGTCAGGTTGTCAAAGATGGATGGTTGAGGCGCTATTGGGCTCCAGGTCGGGTGTTTTAGGCGCTGTTGCCTAGGGAAGCAGTCCGCTGTAAGCGGCAAGGTCAGCAGCTCTACAAAAGAGCTCGACTTCAATCCAAATCGACTCCGTGCACGATCAACCTCACGAAAACGTCAACACAATGTGAACGGATCAACTGTGCAAGCAACAACAAAGAAACCCCTGCCAAACATTTGGACCTGGAAGCTTTGATCCATTTTTCTAATAATAACCTCCATCCTCTTCAAAGCTCACAGTCCAAGGCGCATGCTACTCAAAGACGCCCATTCCCCTTCACGCTCTTTGTTGGCGTGTAAACGCATCAGCACAAGCACAAGTACAAGGCCATCCATCTCTCAACTCGCTTCCAAAATGGACTATATTGAATCCAAGACGGCTTATTTCAATCAGCTCTCGAGCATTTCTTTCATCAGTGATGGGATGCGCGATGACGACGCTTTTGATGCGCGCGAGGAGAGACAGAGAGAGCTTCACAGGGGCTTCTTTCGGCCTGCGCCCAGCTTACATGCCCCTGATGAACGAGACCAAACACAAGGACATGGACAAAGAACACAGCAGGACCAACAACCTGGAAAGAAACAAGACCAACCTCGAAAGAAACAAGACCAACCTCTGCCTGTGAAATCAAGGCGGCTGCAGCATCTTACGCCCCGGAAGATAATCACCGCGCCTCGGCCCGAGTCTGGAAAAGTCATCAAGGGGACTGGACCGGGGAAGCCGAGGCCAAAGGGCCGGCTTGCTGCGCTGCTGGATAATGTGACGGATGTTGTTCAGGAGACGCCTTCTGTGGTCTCAGAAAAGAGAGGCAAAGAGGTGATTGTGATTGAAGATGGTCCCGTACTGCCTCGGACGTCGGCGTCGTTGAAAAGATCGTTGGAAAGTGCCTCTGAGGAGTCATCATCGCCGTCTGTTAATGTCAAGGCTGGGATGGCGACAAAGGCGGCACGTGGTAACAAGAGAGGGCGTGTTTCGGGACCGAATGTGCGTCCCGAGGCGGAACAGATATTCAAGGGCTTGTCGTTCTTTTACATCCCGGACAATGACATTGCCCCGGCGAGGCGGTTGCGGATCAACAGAGCGAAGGAGTTTGGAGCTACATGGACGAGAGACGTGATGACGGCTACCCATGTCGTGGTGGAGAAGAAGCTTGAGTACAAGGATGTGGAGAAGATGTGGCCGAAGGATGGATTTGGGGGTCGAGCGCCGCCAAAGATGGTTACGGAGGACTACCCTCTTGATTGCATACAGTTTCGTGCCATTGTGGATGCTAGCCAACGCAAGTATCTTGTAAATGGCCAGCCAGAGGTGGATGAAGAGGAAAAGGAGCCCGAGGTTCCCCTTCCCACTGCTGATTCTGGAGATCAGGCGAAATCGAAGTCAAAATCGACAATTAGCTCCCTGCCGCTGAAACCGCAGCATCAAAATAAAGCCAAGTGGGACTATGTTCCGCCGAAAGGGACGCCTTCGCAGAGCGAGGAATCGTCACTAGGCAGTCGTGTGACAAGGAGCAGGACTGGAGCGATGGTCGTAGATTCTCAAGCTGTTGTGCTTGATTTGGAAGATGCCGGCGAGCCCAAGAAGGACACATCGAACGGTGATACGGGGATGGAGAATCATAGTTTGACGAAGAAGCGTGGCAAAGGCAATACCCCATTATTGCAAGACGAGTTGTCAAACTACATCTCCATGATGCAAGAATTCAAGGATTTACCACTAGATATTGACGAAGAGGAAGATGTTCAGTCTACGAGTAACGAAGCGGAAGCTCCATTGGATCGCGATCATCGTTCTGAATCGGAGACCGAATCACAACGGACGAGGAGATCATCCAGGAGGACTCGACCAACCAACAAAGCAATAGCATTCGAAGACCGATTCGCTTGCAATAGAGCTGGGAGGAAAGATGCCAACCAAGATAATCCAAACGCACGCACCATTGAGATATTACAAAAGATGAATAGCTACTATGAAAGGGTCAACGACCATTGGCGGACAATGGCCTACCGAAAGGCCATCAGCATCTTGAAACAGCAGAGCGTCAGGATTACCACCGAAGAAGAAGCATATCGCCTCCCAACCATCGGTCGCCGACTGGCGCAAAAGATTGAGGAGATTGTTACGACAGATAAGCTACAGAGGCTTGAATGTGCAGAAGAAGATCCCACAGATCACGCCTTGCAAACATTTTTAAAGATTTACGGCGTGGGGAACAAGATAGCAGAGCAGTGGATTGCGCAGGGCTGGAGAACACTCGAGGATGTACAACAGAATGTGAAGTTGACGCCCAGTCAGCTGATTGGCATGGAGCATTACCATGACTTGAACACCAGGATACCGCGCAAGGAGGTGACTGCACTGGGCGAGGTTGTCAAGAAGGCGGCAGCTCGAATCGATGCGGCAGCACAGCTCATTATTGGGGGCAGCTACCGCCGAGGCGCAGAGAGCTCTCATGACATCGACTTTATTGTGACGAAGCCAGGGGCTGAATCTGTGGCAGATCTCAAGCCCTTTCTGAACAGCCTGGTGGACCAGCTAGAGAGAGACAAGTTCCTCGTAGCTCGTCTCGCATCATCTCGAGCAGGCGGCGACGGCAGCAAATGGCACGGCTGCTGCGTGCTACCCGAGATCAAGGGCCTCAACGACACGGACGGCGGATACCGGCCGATCTGGCGAAGAATCGATTTCCTGCTGGTCCCCGAGGCAGAGCTGGGCGCGGCGCTGATTTACTTTACCGGCAACGACATCTTCAACCGCAGCATGCGGCTCCTGGCGTCTAAGAAGGGCATGCGGCTGAACCAGCGGGGGCTGTACAGAGATGTGCTGAGGGGGCCGAACCGGGCCAAGATTACGGCGGGGGAGCTGGTGGAGAGTAAGGATGAGAGGAGGATATTTGAGATTTTGGGGGTGAAGTGGCGGGAGCCGTGGGAGAGGTGGTGTTGAAGCTGGATATTGATGGAGTGGTTTAGAGCTTAGACGTGTGTTTGGCTTGTTGGTTCTAATATGAGCCCTTGGAAAGGAGTAGTCTGGATTTAATCCATTTTCTGATGTACATGACTTAATGTGTAATGTCAATTGTTATAATAGATGTGATACCATACATATACACGTGGTTGGATGATATGTATGTAGGTACTAAGTAGCACGATGAGAGAGAATCACATGTGAAAAGGCAAAAGCGTGGGGTAAAAACCTGGAGGTGGCGTCCCCGTCAAAACATCAATCCATTAATCTAAGCACGTCTACCAAGAGCTGAGCTACTCTGTACAGGCGGTGATTTTCCATCTTCCAGCGGACTCACAGCGGGCAGCTCCTCCTCACTGTCCCCCCAGAAAGTGACGTATTTGACGCTTGCTGCTCCCGTCCGGGGTTCATAATCGGCTTCCCCATAATTTTCTTATCGCGCCAAATCCCGACCGAGGCTCAAGTCATCAGCAGCCGATCTGAGCTAAACCGAAACCCTTTTTCCTTTCTACATACGAAACGTACAAACTCTCTTCTCTCTCTCAAAACCTCAACCTTACTTTGCACAACCATTCGAAAAAAAAATTGAACGTCTTGTTCTTTCTCTTTTTGGTTTTCGGGTCCTCCTCTCTTGATCTTTCGTGCGCGGCTTGCGGAGATTCTTCGCGCTCCCTTTCTAGTGTCCGTGTTTTGGTACATTGACACGGGCGTCGATAGCCGAGGCACCATGGCTGCCTCGTGGATGTTGGAAGAGTGGAAGGTATGCGATTCACTCCCCTCGGTGCTATACACCCGCGATTGAGAGGAAAAGAAATGGAGAATTCATTGGGTCAAGACGGCCGGCTCACTCTTTTGCAATAGGCGTTTTTGGAGGGCATCGTGGTAGACCCGGTATACCATGACGTCTTGTCGCTGCTCAAGACGGCGCGCAACGGCGCAGTCTACGGGACAAAAGTGCGCTTTCCGCACGCGCTGGTGTAAGTTGCGAATGGTTCACGGGATGGTTTTGGGAAGAGATTGTGCTAATGTGTGTGATGCGACAGGATGATATTCCTCTTCCGGTCCGGAACGTACGTATTTCCTTGTCGACGATCCCGACGGCGATGGCGATGGCGGATATATACAGGCGCACACATATATGGATACCAGGTATTAACTTGGATTTGGATGATAGGTTCCGAGAAAAGGCGTCACTGGTCTTTCGAGCAACGAAGAAGCATGCCACGAACCTGGCCAAGTTTGCTTCCATATACAAGATTACAATGCTGGCGCTGAAACGCTACGGCGCCACACCAGGCAAGGAGGGTATGATCTCTCTCTTCCCCATACGTCCTCTCTCTCTAGCCCTCTTCATATGTGTGTTCCAATTCATCAATCCTCTTACTCACACGCTGCCGCGGACAGGCCCCTTCGACTCCTTCTTCGGCGGTCTCCTCGGCGGCTACATCGTCTTCGGCCAGCGCTCCAAGCGCTACGGCAAGATCTCGTCCGTCAGCCAGCAGATTGTCATCTACATCTTCGCCCGCGTCGCCCTGGCCCTGGCGCGCATTGCCGTCAAGCCCGGCCACGGCCTGCCCGTCGTGTCGAGCGAGCCGTTGCACTCGCAAATCACCCACTACGCCTGGCCCGCGTTTGCGTCGCTGTCGTGGGGCATGGTCATGCTGCTGTTCAAGCACCACCCGGAGGATCTGCAGTCGAGTTTGAGGAGCAGCATGACTTATATCTATAAGGACTGCGATAGCTGGGACTCGCTGAGGACCTTGGTCTGGCATAACAAATAGAGCATGTGACAGTGGTCTTGTTTAGAGCGAGCTCTTTTCTTGGATTTCAACAGGTATACTGTCGGCGTTGATGTGTGCTGCCATTTGGTTTATTGTGTTTTATTGGAGGGCGTTTTTGCGATCTGGATGTCTCGAGAGTGTTATAGCGGCAACAAATACATGGCATGAGATGGGACGGGGAGAGAGAGCATTGGACAGGTGTTGGTCTTGGTGTCGGGATTCTTTGCATTGTATGTACAATTGAATGAATCCCAGTCAACTATTTGTGAAAACTGCCTGTTTCTTTTCGTGGTGCAAGCTGGTTGACGGAAAGTTATGGGTTGATAGCCCAAGTAATACGGCGGTCCATAATGCATCTATTTTGGTGTTTTAGCGGTCTTCCGGGAGCTACCCCGCTATAGCTCGGCGCTGCCCCGCCAAAACCAGCTCCAATTCATCTCCAGGCAACACACGCATCGACTCTAATCTCTTTCAACTCCCATCTTGACACATCTTCAACCACAATCTCCATTCCCGCCATGGTACCCAATCCAAAGCTCGCCGCCGCCCTCTCTGCCGCAGAAGCAGACTCTGGCGAAAAAGGCGCCATCTACGAGACCATCCTCGCCGACATCCAGACTCTCGCCTCGCCAACCACCGCCGCCGATCTCGATGCCATCTTCGACTCCTTCTTCGGCCAGAGCCTCGGCCTCGTGGCCTCGCGGTCTTTCCTGACCACCTTTGTCGCCACCCTCAAGAGCATCGAAAAGGAGAGCCTGTGGATCGAGGTCGGCAACCGCACGCTGAACAGACTGGCCGCCCAGCCGTCGTCCTTCTTCGATGCTGCCGCCACCATCTACGAGCTCGTGGCCACGGCCCACGAGAACAACGAGGACTTCCTCGATGCTGCAAAGGCACTCGCCGAGATTCCGCTGGATAGCTCTCAGAGGAAAGTCTCGGACGCGGACAAGGCGCGCGTGTGGGTTCGCATCGTCCGGAACTACCTCGAGGTGGGCGACGACACCGCCGCCGACATGTACATCAACAAGCTCAAGAACATCATGCACACCGTCTCGGACCCGGACCTCAACCTGCACTTCCGCCTCTCGCAGGCCCGCATCCAGGACGCCAAGCGGGACTTCCTCTTCGCCGCCCAGCGCTACCACGAGATCAGCTTCTTCCCCACCGTCGCCGAGGAGGAGCGCCTTCACACGCTGAGCATGGCCGTCAAGTGCGCCATCCTGGCCCCCGCCGGGCCCATGAGGAGCCGCATCCTCGGCAGGCTGTACAAGGACGAGAGGTCGGCGCAGCTCGACGAGTTTGGCATCCTGGAGAAGATGTTCCTCGACCGCCTGCTGTCGCCCGCCGAGGTGGACAAGTTTGCAGAGGGCCTGCAGCCGCATCAGCTAGCCACTACCGCCGACGGATCGACCGTTCTGGCAAAGGCGGTTGTTGAGCACAACCTGCTCGGCGTGTCGAGGCTGTACAACAACATCCAGTTTGGTGCCCTGGGCGCGCTGCTTGGTCTGGACGCCGACAAGGCCGAGGAGACGACCGCACGCATGATTGAGCAGGGCCGGCTGGTTGGTCGCATGGACCAGCTTGAAGGCATAGTTCGATTTGAGGGTGGCGAGGCTTCTGGCGAGAAGGGCAGCGGCCGTGCCGAGGTTGCCATAGGCAAGGAGATGCGCAGGTGGGACGCCAACGTCGAGAGCCTGGCCGAAGAGGTGGAAAATGTCATCAATTCCCTGCAAAAGGAGTTTCCCGTAACGTCCCCCCCCTATCTCTCCCCTTGTTTACGCTCTTGTTGTCTAACTTTCCAAACATCCATATAGTCCTTTGTCGCAGCGAATCTTGTGGCCTGAGATCCATCCAGCGGAAAGTGTTGACGGGAGTGATGCAAAAATGGCACCGGCGTTCATGGGGGAGACATTTCAAGGCGTCTGGGATGATTTTTATGTGGCAATGATATGATACAACGATAAATCACCTACCAGGGGATCTTAAATCCCTCCTTTTCTTTTAGTTCTTGCTACTTCTTCTTTTTCTGCTTCTTCTTTCTTTAACCTTTCCTCGCAGGTAAGCATTTAGACTACGCTGTGTAAAAGAGCAAGATGTTTGTCATAAATGTGCTAGCTGCATAGCTAACATTTCAGTCTCTGACGTGACGCTCCTTGTATATACTCTCGAGATGCTTCCTTCATTGGAAGATACATGCCATTGTCAACTCCCACTAGACACAGGCTGCCCTTCATCATACGCCTCATCTACACGGCAGCCCATCAACCCAAGTCTTCCATATGCACATCGCTTATTGTACACACATGCTCCGGTCGTCAAAAGCAGATCAAAAGAAACACGCAAACCGCAAGATCCATTGTTCATCCCAGCAATCATCAAAACGCCTTCCCGCCCTTCCATCTTTAATCCTCAATATCATCGTCACTCAGAACCAGTTTCTGCTTCAGCAAGCCCGTAACCGTGCCCGTTTTTATGCCCATCCTCTTCTTCCGCGGTGTGGCCTCTTCGGACGGCTTGTCTGTCGCCCACGTCTCACCCATAGCGACCTCCTCATCAGCATCCGACTCATCGTCCGGTGCTACATTCACGCCAGAGAACGAAACAATATTTTCGAGGTCTCGCTGCCGTCCCCCCGTCTTGCGGCCACGGGCAATCTGCGCCATGTACGGGAGCCGGTCAACAAGTAATTCACGACGAGCCGTGCTACCAAGTGTAGGTATCGGAGGGCTGTCGCGCTCTTCTTCCTCTGGGTTGACGTCTTTGGATACGGGTGCTATGCCTGCTTGCTTCTGGTTCGAGGTTGCCGAGGCCTGATTACGGCGAAATATGCTCGCTCCGTCCATGATATTTCTCGACGGAAGATTAGCCTCGCCCTTCAAGACTTTCCCCGACCAAACATCGATAAGGCCTTCAATCTCTTCCTTTGTTCGCCAAAGCTTGAGACTGGTAGGGTAAAACATCTTGAACGCATCACTGCCCTTTTGCATAGTCCACGTCTTTCTTTTAACAGGGTTAGGTAGGGAGAATAGCATGCCGCGCACTGCAACCTGAAATGTTATCTCATCTTGGCGAAGAACATGGCTTGCCGAATCTCCAAAGTTTCCACTGAACCCGCCACGTCCACCAAAAAAGACATCTCGGGAAGGGCTGAGCAAGTCGGCCAGTGAAAGATACTCGATACATTCGTTGACGTAATCCATGGGAGTTGAAAGATCCATCGGATCTGTGCCTTCGCAGGATAGCACGTAGTTCTCGTGAAGAGCCGAGATGAATGTATGTGTATCAGTGCCCGTCTCATCGATTAGCGAATCAACAGACACCAGTGATGCCTTTGGACGTGAATACTGCGAAAGATAGCTCGGCAGCTTTTCTGCAGGGTCGTTGGATGGCATATCGTCCCGCTTATTATAGACCACCTTGCCGACGGCATGGAAGATGCCCAAACTAGCTTCTCGCTGAGATATTTGTTCGAGACTCTCCTCTTCACCACGTGTGAGGGCGATGCCATCTTTCGCTCCTTTCTTCTGTTTCGTGAATGTTACCTTGGATCCCCAGTCGGCATCTTGGTCTCCCTTTAAGCAGAGAAACTCGAGCGATGATATAGCGCTACGAATGTCTCCAATTTCACCGAGCCGCTTGAGAACGAGTGGTCCTGGAGTTCGTCTGCGCCCCGACTTTCGTGACTCTTTCTGTACAACAAGCTCCAGGGCCTTGGCTAGTAACGAAGGAGCTATCGCGTTGAACTCGATCAGCCCAACCCCAGGGTGGCGCAGAATCTCGGGTCCGAGCAGGCGATGGGCAGTCAGGCTGTCTGCTGAAGCCGATGTTGTCGTCAGCAGAGTCTCCGAAATGATGATAATAACAGGCGTAATTGGCTCCACTCGTCTCTGCTGCCCAAAAGCATGTAGGGACGGCGTTTGTGTTGCCAGATACTGGAGGATGGTGCGCCGAAAGGAGGAAAGCGCAGTCGAGCTCCGAGAAAACGTGTTTGGAAATTCTTCAATAAGAATCATCTTCTTCCCGTTGTGATTGGGGGGTTGTGAGGCAGTGTTTGAGCTCGCCGGCGTGGACGATGGCTCGGGTTCTTCCAAGTCCAAAGCCCCAAACTTGCCTCCTCGCCCGAGGAAATCCTCAAACTGCGCGGACGCCGACACAAACCCAGTTGTTGAGTTTCCGGCAGGATTCTTCCACTCCAAAATCTCGGATCCCATGTCGTTTGCCAATAGGCGAACTGTCGTGGTCTTCCCAGTGCCGGCAGCGCCTTTCAATATCAGCATCCGCTGTCTCATCCGTCCTCCCATGACATCTTCAATCCACTTCCGAACGTCGGACACCTTTTTCTTATGTACAGCAAGTTCATCTAGATTCCGCGGGCCGAATCGTTCCGACCAGGGCCGTAAATCATCGTTCAATGTATCTGTAGACGCAGGTCGACTGGGCTTTAGGAATCTTTGGCTCATGCTCAGCGAGCCACTGGGCGCAGACTGGGCGGCGCCGCTGGCCCCTTTCAATCTTTTCCTCACATGTTGTCCAACCACGCTGGAGGAGCTAGCTTTGAGCTCTGATATTTCGTCGTCGTCGGAAATAGGATCGGTAATCAGATCGTCGATCGGTTCCGTCGTTCTGTCGGTTCCTAAGCCTGGCCTTGCTACTTTCTGTGCCTGCTTAGAGAAGAGCGTCTTCAAGTCTGCCGTCTTTCCCTTGTCATCAACCTTGGTCGCAGCCCTGGTCTTCTTAGGGCTGAAACTCGTGCCATTCTTTAGTGATCGCGACGGCCGAAGAGGGCTGCCATTGCTAGAGGATTGACCATTGGCCGTCCTTTTCTTCACGGGACTCGGAGACGAAGTCGGCGCTCGTAGCTTCGCCGGTGAGTTTGGCGAAGAGAGAAGGAAATTAGTCAAGGTATTGGCCTTTGGTTGCTCGTCTTCATCGTCGGACGCCTCAACGGTATTCCGCCGGCGACGCTTCGCAGGCGGTGCCATTAACGCGACTGAATCATCCGGGCTGTGAAGATTCCATGCAAATCGGACGTACGAAGCAAGATACAAGTCAGGGACCAACCCAGCAGCAGCGGTAGGAGGGGTTGATAAGAGATTAAGAGTGCAGCATGAGCCCGATATCCGAAGAGAAGAGAAGCAATCTTGGGATATCTAGCTAAACAAGTTGTCCACGTACAGTGCAAATCATTAGTGCTGATAAATTAGCACTGTTTGGCATTAGGCAGGCGCTGCCAAGATAGCTCAAGCTCAAACTGAAGGAGCTCGACACAGGCATCAACGCTACACCTTATCATAGCATGGATTGTATATGAGTATGAAAAAGAAGAGAGTCAATTTTGTCCCAATATTCAACTTTCACCCGGCCGCCTTATTCCATTTGCACTGCGTCACGGCTCGCTCATTACGCCGTGCCTCATTTTCCAATTTAGTATCATGCCCAATCACTCAACCAGCCATCGTCCCAAGCCCATACATGTACTAATGAACCCAACCGTAGAAGCTGTCCACAAAAGTCACCGCAGCTCGAAGATAATGCTCTTGAACATCGCCCCATGTCCGAGCAGCCTCTCTTATAGCTCGAATCGCTGTAGACATCAATATTAGTATCCGTTCACTGCTCTCTATAATCCCAGGGGTCGTGGCCATACCTTTGACATAGTGTGCATCCTTCGACCATGGCGAATTCAATGCTTTGTCTTCCACATATTTCCAATTCTTTCCCTTCAAGTCACTCTCAACACTATCAGGATCTGGCAATGGCCGGCCCTTGATGATGAAAACGGCCAACACGAATAACCACCATTCTCTAACCAAAGTAACGTGGTGTTTGGGTGGCAGAAATGGGAGAAGAATCCGGACAGCGTGGCTAGTGGTTAACAAATGGACAAAGTAAAAGTCATATGCATGGGTTCCTGGCTGGACAGTAGCCACGAGCAACGCGACGGCTGCCTCTTGAGACAGCTCAAATTGTTTCTTGGGGTCGTCATCAAGATCCCATCCGTTCCAATACTCCAGGAGGAGCGACTCATTCTTGTCGAGAAGTGCTTCCAAATCATTAAGCGGGAGATCTGATGGCACTTTGTCAAATCTACTATCCTTCGACATCTGGACCAAAAGATCCAATGGTGCCCGCGACTTCAGCGGGGATGGCTTCGTATATGAGCCATTGTCGAGATACTTGTGGAAAAAGTTGTACTGGACGGAGGTGAGAGCAAGCGCCTCCATGGCGACCTCTCTGCTGTCCACCTCATATGCATAGCCCAGGTGAATGAGTGGATGTCCAACTATCAAGTATTAGCATGTGGAAGAAGAACGAGTGTAGTACTTGAGAGGAATTCCTACGGCCGCCTATCAAGCCATGGAACAGCGGCTCTTCGCCACTAAACAGAAAATGCTGCAGTTCCTGTTTCCAGTCGTAGGCAAATTCCATGGCAAGCTTATCCTCATAATAATCCACAAACGCCCTTTGATACTCTTTATCCCCCAGAAAGTCCCTCCAGTCCTCGTCAATCAGCTCGGAAGGCGACGGCTCCCAAGGCACCAGGTCTTTGATCTCATCGTTGTAAATGTCATGCAGCTGCTTTTCATTGGCTCCAAGCAGATACGCTGAGCTGAGGATGTGGACATTGTGATTGTCAAACCGGAGATGGTTCCAAAGTATGGCGTAGTTGGCATGATTCGCCTTCAGCAAGTGCTTAAGACACCGAGCCCGCCTATCGGCATGTGTTTCAATGTGATGGATTTCCACAGATGGCAAATCAATGGCATTGGACTTTCGACCCACCAGCAGGCTCGCACCAGGAATGTACGAGAGAATACCTGACATTGTTCGGCTGTGCTTGGAGAAGGAGGAGAAGAGTCAATTCACCGAGCTCTTTAGCAGGGTGATGAACTTACTAATTAATTGTTGTGTTGGGGCGAAGAATACAACAAAGTACTACTTCCGTGACATGGATCCCGTGGAATCGTTCCGCGCAGCTAGCATTTGTGGGGATGGCATCATGGTGGAGCTTGTACTTCTGCAGCTGTTGAGCCGTTGGTCAGTGACGCAACAAGTCACGCGTCGCGTCTTTCAAGCCACAGACGTGAAAATGCTTAGCCTCAGCCTCAGCCTCAGCAGCGTCAAGCCTCAGCCTTGAACCACAACCAGTCATTCTCTCAACTCACAACGCAAGCAAGAATTCCAGCTCGCAGAAAGATGCTGGGCTAGCCATGGCGCAATCAGATACCGCTGTTGGTTCCATATATGCCGAGCTGCTCTCGAACATCAGACAAGTGTCAGTTAGAGCCACGCTGTTGTCGCCATCGGATGCGACGACCAAGGCCGAGATTCTCGATGACGGCCGCCGCATTCAGATTCACCACCAGGGTGCAGTAAGAATACTAGACCTTCCAGCAACTGTCCTAGTACGATCTACGATCCCCATCCCAGAGAATTCCTCGCAGGACTTGACCTGGAGGCTACCAGTGCCGGCCACTGAGACGCAACTGACAAGATTCTCTGCCGAGAACCAGTCAGTGCCTTGGAGCTCTACGGATCTCAAAGTCGGCTCTTGTATCTGCTGCAGACACTGCAATTACAATATTGTCAAACATGGCCGTATAAAATCATGGAAGGATTTACCCAGCGAGAACTGGGCAGAAATGATGGAGTTCTGGCACTGCCATAAGCCTCATGACCATGAGCACCACGATGGCGAGAATCTCTCCAAGCGCGGCTACGGAGCTAATAGTGCAATTACCGCCCAACCTGAAGTTGGCTTTGTGGACCTCACATCTTTCATGTTCTCTGAGTCGGATTGTGATGGACTGTCAGTAAGTTTCACCCAGCTCGCTCCCCCCAAAGCTGTCTGCTTTTTAGAGGTGGGGAAAGAGAAGGTGGCCTAGTCGAGTGTATAAACACCTCTCAGTGACCCGGCCACCGATACAATTCCCCGAGAAGAATGCATTGCTTTTCCCAGATGATTCTGGGCAATTCTGAGGCTCGTACCCTTCTCTAACAAGAATGGGTTAAGCGTCCGAGTTGTTAAAGCAGTCTCTCACTTATCATCCAGTTTCCAGAGATGTGGGATTCGGGAGATTAATGGAGATAAATCTATATACTTTGTAGACGTGATTGTGTTGCATTGGCTCCCCGGCTCGTAGGACGGTTCAGCTTACTAGCAGCAGTTTTCTCGCCCTGATTCGGACGCTTCCTTCGACGCTAGCAAAGAAGCTATTGATGGTAACGATCCAGTGCGGCCTTTACGTATCTCCTGCAAGACTTGCCGTGCAGAAATAGGAATATACAATGCTCTGGCAGCATCTATTACCCTGTTTAAGTGGCAAGTAACTTGCGAAACTGGCTCGCCCAGCCAATCCCCAAACAGCTCAGAGTGCCTTGCAGCTACTCTAATAGCGACCATATCACGATCGGGCTCATCCAAATCCGTCGTGGCGTCACATACGCTTGATGCTACCCCAGAAGGACCACAGTCGAAATCATCTCAGTCTCTTCACCTCTGGGTGCTGAATGCCAATGTCGTGTATTCCTCCACGATGCGCGAAGGAAGACGGACGGCGATAAAGGTTCTCTACCAAGATATTGATATAGAGGAGGGAAATAAACTTGTCGATTCTATGACTTCCGGCGTCCAAGAAATCAGCTTCCCAGCGGCTGCTATTGGCGCAGCTCGTCAAATGCTCCAGGAAAGTAACAGCTTATTGCCCGCCTCTGAGCGGCTATTTCAGCAATGGCATGTCGGTTTACTAGAACGTTGGAAATAGATGAGCGATTTACAAAAAGTGTGTCTAAAATTTATGATCTATTGATTGGTATTCATATTTTGATTTCATTTGGCATTAGTGAGCCGGATCTGAAGGCTATGAACAGCGGGTGGCCACTACCTACTAATGTATTGCGCACTGTACATATTCACGTAGGCGTGCACATTGTTGACAGTGCATACTCATATTGGCACTGGCAGTAGGCAGCACCTGAGGAAGGATTATTAACCTTAACCCCGAACCTCCTCCTTTCCTTCCTGCTTATCTCTCAACATTTTCACCCAGCCCCAGACAAATCTTTCGAAATGTGATGATTGAGGCTTCAGGAGGGTATTTTACAACGTTGGAAACTTAGGAGCGTCACAAGCTTTCAGTTTTTACTTGATATCACGATCAATACTGACATCATGCATTCTCAACGGGTTCCTTATATTCCTGTTGGATGTGTTGGAATATCACAACAGGACAGCTATATCAGCCAAGAAGATTGGCTATCTAACGAAAACCGAACATGGAGAAGTTTCACGCGGCATCATGACACTCTGAACAATGGTGGGCATGCTATCCCATCCGATACGCCGGGCATCAATCCCAATCTGCAAGAGTCGCTCCTGAAGTGTTCAGAACTTTCGTCATTGGGCCGGTTATTTCATGCTCATTGGTGCAAGCTCGAATTTTGCGTCAGTACCCTAGGCAATCATCTGGGAATTGTCAGGGTATACTTGCTTCCAGATGATGTTCTGCGCCGTTCGGTTGATCGCTCTGATTCAAGCTTGGAGAAAGCGAGGTTGTTGGTACTCCGTTCTCTCGATTATTCACCATGCGCTTGGAAAGCTATCAAGGAGCCGGATCACTCAGGTCGCCCAGTGCTTGAAGATCCCAGCTCCATCGACAATGATAAGGATGTCTCGCTCCTGCAACTATTCAATACCATTCCCTCGCCTTGCCCAGACTTAAATGCTGTCGATGAGCCGTACACGCAGGATGCAATGTACAATCTCATGGAGAGCCAGGTACCGGGGCTCAAAACCGAGTTGTATTCTCACCAAAGAAGATCCGCGGCTGTGATGCTACAGAAGGAGACACAGCCCGGTCAGATTCTTGACCCTCGACTGCTGCATCTCAAGGACACAAGTGGCTCTCATTGGTACATGGATCCTGTAACCGGAGTTGTTCTTTTGGAGCCACGATATTACGACGGAGTTTGTGGGGGAATTCTGGCAGAACAAATGGGGTCAGGCAAAACAGCCATTTGCCTTGCGCTGATACTTGCGACGAAGCATTTATCGACAAGCCCGCCTGACTTTTACAAAGCTGGCGAACCGCCCGTCAGACGAAGAATCGCATCCCTCGCCGATATGGCTGCTTCTTGCGCCACACGCCATGCCGTTCCCTGGAAATCTCATTTCGAAGCGTGGAAAGAACAGCATGGATATGAATTTAGCCACTGTAGCGACGCCCTTTCGAGAAATCGCGGTTATTATTTTCTCCCCGCCCCCGAACCTCGTCGCGGTGGGCGATACAACACTCCATGCCATGTGCCGCCCAAGAAGATCTATCTGAGTATGGCATCTGTCGTTATCGTTCCCAACAACTTGGTCGCACAATGGAGACAGGAGATCCACAAACACACCGAAGGGCTCAAAGTGTTGATCCTTGGAAAGAATGATGAAATTCCATCGCTTGAAGATATTCTGACGTATGACATCCTCCTATTTTCTCAAACAAGATTTGAGATGATTCACAAACAATTTGCTGGTGTCGACAGCTCCATCTTCTCCTCCATCCATTTCAAACGATGTATCGTAGATGAAGGACACAAACTTGGTAACTCGAAAATGAGCAACAGAAGCAATCTTTTGATTGGTTTGGATTCAATGCACTTCTCCTCTCGCTGGATTGTCACTGGAACTCCCTCTCACGGCTTGTATGGGGTGGAAAAGTCCCAAGCTGCCACAACACACACCCACACTTCGAGTACTCAGTCTCCGATCCCGGATAATAAATCGAATCAAACTGACAAATTTTCGACCGATGAAAAAAAGGACCTCGAGAGAATCGGAGCCATTGCCGCTCTGTATCTAAAAGCTCGGCCTTGGGCAAACACCATAATCGAAGGTGGCGATACATTGGCTGACTGGACCACCTATCTAATGCTCCCAAAGCATAGTTCCAGGAGTCAGGGTCGATGGAATTGTTTGGAATCTACTCTCAACACCCTCATCATCCGCCATCGTATATCGGAGATTGGCGCTCTTTTACCGTCTGTGAACGAGAAGATTATTGTTCTTGACGGTTCGTATCAGGACCAGCTGTCTCTCAACTTGTTTTCTATGATGATAGTATTCAACTCTGTCCAGTCGCAGCGCGAAGACATGGATTATTTCTTCCATCAAAAGCAAAGAAAAGCTCTCCTACAAATTGTACAGAATTTAAAACAGGCGAGCTTTTTTGGAGGATCTTTCTTTACTGCTGATGAAATCGCCAAGTCTGTTGAAACCGCCGAGAAATTCTTAGCGGAGCGGAAGGTTCCTATCAGTCCCGAAGATGAATCATTACTCCAGGAGGCCATCCAATTCGGCAATTTGGCAATGACAAATAAGCTAAGAAATCTGACGAACCAATTCCACGAAATGGCCGTGTCGGTCACGGGCTTCCCTGGTAATGCTGGCGAATCCTGGTCCCTTGATGGTGCATCTGCGGAGAACGGCATATGTACCTCTACCAGCATGCTGCTATCCCTTCAGAAACTAATTTACAATGCGGCTGGAAGCGAAGAGAAGCTAAACTCTCTTTTGAATGGCGACCTGATCTCAGAAGGTACACTCGAACGAATCAAACTACTAAACGCGACAGCACCCGAGAAAGATTCCAAGTCAAAAGAGAAATCCTCCGAGACACTCGCCGGTAATACCAAACTAGGCGAGGATAGCCCAAAGAAGACACGCTCTCACGGTGTTAATGGTATTGAACCGAGGACCCTCGCTGCCGAATTTTTTGTTGGACCTCTTGAACAGACAAAAATCACGGCGACTGTATCTGCAAAGCTCTCTTACTTGATCGACAATTTAGTCAAATACCAAGAAGAGGAGAAGATAATCGTTTTCTACGAAAATGAAAACGTAGCATGGTATCTGGCTAGCATGCTTGACGTGGTTCGTACTTGATCAGCGACTCGAGATTGGAACCGAACTAACCTCCAGCAGCTTCAAATTCAACACTTGATTTACGCCAAATCTTTGAAGGGAGAAAGGAGAGCACAATATGTCAATACCTTCAATCACAATGAAAAATTCAGGTGAGCAACTCTTAAGGCCCAATTTGCAAGATTTGCCGCCTAATTAGACATAGAGTCCTCCTTATGGATATCTCCCAAGCAGCGTTTGGTCTCGACATGCGAGAGGCATCTCGAATTTACTTCATCAACCCCGTGTTGAATCCCCAGGTCGAAGCCCAGGCAATAGGTCGTGCCCGACGAATCAGTCAGAAGAAACCTGTCTGGGTTGAAACGCTTGTGCTGAAGAATAGCTTGGATGAAGTCATCCTCGAGCGCAAGGGACAAATGACTCAGGCAGAGCATCGCCACGTCAAATCGATTCTGGATGTGCGGCCGATCTTCAACTGGATCAAGAATACCAAAATTAGCCCAATAGGCTCAAGCAGTGACAGCTACACTTCACAAATGGCTACGCTACATACCGCGCAAGCCGTCTTTGGTAGAGGTTTCGGAGTCACAGACCACCCAGATGAGGGTATTTTTTTGGAGGAGAGCCGCACACCGGACAAGAAATTACCGGTGCATCAAAAGAAGAGGCCATACGAAGTCGGTCCAGGAAATGAGGGAATGGACACGGACGAGAACGCGGAGATATCCGAGCAAGAAGTGATGTCTCAGCCAGCTCGGCGAGTTCGTTTTGCAGCTGATTAGAAGAAAACCTTTATGCAGCAATGACTTGGACTATTTACAGGTAGGATTGTGATACCAGCCGATGACTGTTTTCTTTTAATATGTCGGCATGAACTTAGGTTAGGTTTTATAAAGATGGCTATGCTATCATAATGGATTTGTCGATGGTATGGCGATTACAGGGATTTGCACTTGAGGTGATTCATTCGTGGGCAAATACGTTGCACTACGCGAATTCTCTCCGCTTGGATTTCAACTATGCGTCTCTTTTTTTTTCTTTTTTTTCTTCTTCTTCTTATTCTTTGTTTCCCCTGCCCTTTGTGAGATACTTTTACAGAAGGGAGTGCAAGTATGTCGCTGAAATCGTTGTTTCAACCCTCGCATTCCTGCTTCAAAACGCACTGGATGACGGGCGCTCTGGTCAGCAAATGAATCCTTGTGTGGGCTGGGAGACAGCAGACAACAAATGAGACATGAGCATTCACCTAAAAACGCCTTACTTCAAGCTGAAATTGATTCCGCCATGCGGCCTAGAATACGGTCCTGCTTGTTACTCAAGTCAGCCATGGCACACTGTCCAGACTAAGACAAACCACCGCAGTGGAATGCGCCTCGCATCGAATAAGAAGCTCGAAGAACAGCGCCGTGTGCCATAGCCCACGTGTGTGGTGCGCGTCCCGGCTGGGAACCAGTGACAGCCGCACATAAACGCCATGCGGCTGAATCTGCATCGACGGATTGCTCTCAAGCTGATCCAGGGCACGGGCCTCTGTTGGCCAGCTATTCAGAATCCAAACTCGGCGGCGGCTGAGGATGGCGAGTCTAGACTTTCAGCCCCGAGCCTAACAGAAAAGGGCTCTGCCTAGGAGTGAAGAGAGAGAGAGAGAGATTTTGCGTGATTGGGGTCCACCAGATTTGCAAATCAAGATACGAGCAACCAGTACGGAATATTCACGAGACATTCGGGTGGGATGATTTGCTCGTATGTATCTCGTACTCACCACCATCGACAGCTGGAACTGGAATTGGCATCAAATGAATCTCGCGTCCCATCGGTTGCTTGTCTTGGAAGCGAAGGCCGGCCGAATCATCCCAAAGGCTGCCCTGTCAAGGATTTGCTCGCTAGTGCCAGTCTTGGACATTTCCCGATCCGGCAAAACACGAATTATCATAATCGGCCGCTCCACCCCATGTCTCGGGTGAAAAGGGCAAATTATAAATACGAATAGCGGGCCAAGAAGCAGCTTGCTGTCCCGCGGAGCATTGGGATGGGGTGGCTTTTTGATTAAATCCCACAAATTTACCCCTGGATCGGTGCCTGTACCTGGCTCGGCAGTCGACCCTCAGTCTGCAGCGCGAGCACATGTACCTGCATCCAAAGTCTCTAAACTAGGGATGGCAAGGGCACTTAGGGCAGTGATTCGTGGAGCTGGACGCCTGGCTTCCTGGCCGTCAGGGTAGTCGAAAGTAAAAAACAGAGAGAGGAAAAGGAAGCTTGCCTCTTCGTGGCAACAGGCAAAGATGAGAGAGAGCCCGGCCTGGGCATCCGTCATGGGTGACCACCCCGGGAGAATCAATCAAAAAGATGTGCTTCTCCGCCCCTTTTGCCCCGGGCTTCGCTACGACTAGCCTGCTTGCTCCTCCAAAACCCTTGAAGGGGACGCTGATCGTTCAGCTGATCGTCCTTACATTTGGCAGTTCGACAAGCCCAGACAACCAGAGTGAGAGAGAGCAAGAGTGAGAAACAGAGAGAGAGAGAGAGGTTGAAAGAGGCAAAGAACCCCAGAACCAACATTCAGGCTGAATATCACGGGGTTCTTTGATTACTTTCTCCACGTGTTGCTTGCTGCTGTTACCCTTCTGTACGCACTTCTTTTTTTCTTTGCATGATGAATTGCGCGCTAGATCTTTATGTGCTAAACTACAGCGAGACCCGGCATCATGACTTCGACGGCCACCATTAAGGCCTTCCCTCTCCCACCGGCCTTCACCGCGGCGGATCTCTATTCAATTGATGAGGCTTCAGACGGCAGCGCAGATGCAATGAGCAATGAGCACGGGTCACGCACGGGTCGAACGACAAGGGCGGCGAGTCAATCGTCGGTGCAGCATCCAGTATATCCAGGTCCCCAAAACGCATCAAGGTTCCAGGATAGATCTCTGGAAAACTTCCACGCGACATTGAAGCGGCCCAAGAAGCTGGCAGGCACATCTGGAAATCCCAGTAGCAGCGGTGGTGGTGTCGGCAGCGGCAGCGGCGGTAACAGCAACTTCACACCGCCGACATCTCCCACAGCTATTGCTCATGAAGGAATCGCGGGTCCGAGGAGACGGGCGGCGTCAACAGGGAACAGGATGAACTTGAGCACGTTGGAGACAAGCAGCTGGGTACGCGAAAGCGTCTACCTGTCGTCCCCAATTCGTACGGCGTTCAGGCCCGACAGGCGGCCCGGTGAGGTCTTCGGTCTCTTGCCTGGCGAGGTCCTCGACTTGGTCCTCCAGGCATTGAGGGGCCTACACTTGGATAAGAATAGCGACAGCTGTGCGACATGCATGATGCGCGATCTATGCAGCGCCGCTCTTTGCAGCAAGAGATGGTACAAGCACGCCCGCGCGGCCTTGTAAGTGGCCTCCTCCCATATTGCAATTCCTTCTATCCCTGCCTTGTTACACATCTAACCGTTGACGATGTACAGATACGAAGACATCCAATTGGTAGGCGCAGACTCAGCTGCGCACAAGAAGAAGTTTAAGCAAAACCAAGGCAGCCGTATGGCCATGCTACGACGGACTCTACGCTCCAACCCAGACATCGCCGCCTTGGTACGCTCGTTAAAAGTCCCACATCCGGAACCGCCGTTGAATTGGTCCGTCTCCAAGGGCATGCAGTGGCTGGAGCAATATGAAGACCGAGTAGCCACGCTGATCATGGCTTGTCCGAAGCTGGAGAGGCTGTCGGGCCCAACGCCAAACTACGACCACTCGTTCAAGAAGATATTCCATGCGCTGTCGACAAGGAGGGCGCTGAAGGACATGGCTTGGGTTTTGGAACCTGCACCCGCGCCACAGGGGCAGCGTACGGACTCTCCATCGAAACAACGGGTGCAAAGCGGACCATCCATGCTGGAGCCATATCAAGGAGACGCATTCTTGGGTAGCCATCGAAACTGGTCCTCTTTGACCAAGCTGTCGATACTCTGCCAACCCGGCGCCACACTGGCTCCTCATAGACTCCTATCGAGAACATTGACCTTCCTCCCTAAGCTCCAACACCTCCATCTCTGCAATCTCCCTCCCAACGCATTCAACGATAACAACCTCCTCTCCCTGCCGCCCCTCAAGACCCTGATTCTGTCCCGCATCGTCGGCATCACGTCCAACGGTCTTACCGCGTTCGCCACCCGTAGCAACACGTCGCATCTGAAGCATCTCGAGCTCCGAAACACGCCTCTCACGTCCCTCCCAGCCCTCGCCCGCATCTTCTCCTACCTCCCGGCGCTCAAATCCTTTTCTCTCGCACAGTCCTTCCCCCCAGTGATGCCCGAGACCGACTCCTTTGCGCTCTGGATGATGCCCTATCTCGCCTCATCCACCATCGTCAAGCTCCACTGGGACATCACCAGCCATCCCGCCACCACAAGCACCGCAGACGACATCCTCGCCCGCAGCATCGAAGCCGGGGGGTTCCCTTGTCTCACCACGCTCCGAACCCCCAACGACCCCGAAGGCCGCTTCCAGGCCCTCTGCCGCCCCGTCGAGCAAATCTGCCTCCCCAGCGACCGCTTCTTCCGCCAGCACGGCATCGGCGGCATCCCGGCCTCCGGATCCTTCAGCGCGCCCTCGTCGCCAATCTCCCCCATCCACAAATCCGCAACGACAATGTCTCTCCCGTCAACCATCTACTCGCCCGCCTCGCCAGGCACCGACCTCCAAAAGGCTCGTCTGGCTGCCCAAGCCCGCCTCGAGGCCGCACACGACACCCCGCGCTTCACCTTTAACGTCACCGACGACGACGGACTGGTCAACCAGACAATCGGGGTCGTTGGTTTCGTCGGCACCCTCGGCAGCAAGATATCATATCACCTGCTGCCTGACGAGGGAGCCACAGACGAGCAGGGCGGCCTCGTCGACGTGGTTGATCTCGTGGGAGATGGCGGGGAGGCACTCTCCGGCGGAAGAGAAGGATGCACAGGGCGCTGGAATCAGAAAGAAGGCGAGGTGGCTGACAAGAAGGAGAAGGAGAAGTGGTGGCACACCGAGAGAGGAAGATGGCGACGGATCGAAGCAGCGTGATTGATTGGTTTACTTATCTTTATTACTGTTATCTTCTTTTTTAAACAAGAAGCTTCTTTTGATTAATGGCAGGAGGACAATTGGGTTACACTACGAGAACGACGAAAGGAAGGGGGAGCGAGACAAGTCACGACATCACGACAACAAATAGGATTCAATAGTTTTACGCTCCTCAGATTGAACCATGTAAATCGCAATGGAGAAATTCCTTGTCAAGGACATCATTCAATATGTGCTATACATATCACCACGTGTATAATATAATATAAGTAAAGTCCACAACAAAAAAGCCGATATTTATATTATGCGGTAATAGACAGCAGCAAACAATTACTTTGTAATTATGTCTAGAAAAACTTTGTCATGATTCATGCCTGCTTTGTCGCTCGCTTGCTAATGTCTGCATGCTTGCTTGCGTGCCTTGCCTTGCGTTGTTCCCCCTTCTAACAAAAATCGTTCTGGTCAGGAATACCAAGCCACCTCTTTTTCTTTAGGTTACTCGTCCTGATGCTCTTCGTGGCGTCGTGCCAACGGCCGATATGCCAAAAATTTAAAGAAAAAATCCAACTCTAGATATGTATGTAGACTCTTTCAGAAAAAGAAAAAAAACCACCCAGAAGCGCCGAAAGTCCTAGCCTCAACAAATGAATAAACTTTTTAATGTGCAAGAGTGTGTGATGAAAGGAAAAGAAAATAGAGCAAACGAGATTTGTCGCAGAAGATGCCTTAGTCGTTCGTTAAAAAGAAAAAAGTAGGGAAAAGGAAGAGAAATAGATGGAATGAAGAAGAAAGGAGAGAAGCAGAGAAGGGGAAAGGAGTGAATGAGGAGGAGGAAGGAGAGAAAGGGGAAGGAGAGAAACTCGTAGACTAGAAGAATCTGCCCCTCTTCTTGGTAGCAGGCTTCTTCTTTTGTGAGTCTCCCAAAATGTCATCAAAAGTAGTTCCAGCTGTTGCAGCAACTCGAGCGGGAGAGGGTGGTCTCGAAACCCGAGGGGGGTTCATGCCCACAAGATTGCCAACCGACGAGCTCCGGTTAGAAATGCGGCTGCTGGGAGGCCGTGGGCCAAGAGAGCTGCTTCGCTGGTGAGCACCGAAAACATTGGGCGGCGGCTCCAAAGGTACTGGTTCCAGGCCCATGATGATGCTAGAGCGGTATGCGTTGTTAGTGCGGCGAACGCCTGGCGAGAGATTCCGCGGTCGAGGGCGCAGCTGGGGCGATCCAGGAGGCGGCGACGGGGTGCTCTGGCCAGAGAGGGCGCCCGATCCGTTGCCGAGAGCGCCTTCGCTATCCTGGAAGATTGGGCGAGGGGGCTCGAGAGGTTCCAGTGCTGGCTCCTCCAGCGGCGGGGTGGCCGAGTTGCCCATCTCCTCCCAAATCTTTGCAGCCAGCCAGCAGTGACTTCGGTGATATATCGCTTCCACGCTAAACATGACGGCATCCGCAGATAGTTCGACGTAGCCGCCTCCTCCCGCAACCTCATACCACATTTTTCGGACCTGCTTGTCATCAACCCAAGGGGGGTTGCCGATAGGCGGTTGACACAGGAAATACTCTACTCCTTCGGCATACTTAAGATCGGGAGCATCCACGACCAAGGTGGGAAGGGACTGAAGAACAACATAGAGGAAGAGGAAATAGCCAATGCGCTGGTCGGCGAGATCTTGGGCCGTCTTTCCCTTGGCCTCCCGAGCCTCGAATTCTTTGAAAGCATCAAGGAATGGAAGCCGGAAGCTAGCAGTGTCGTAGTTGTAGGCATTGTTCAACACCAGAAGCATTTCAGGCTCCTTCACTTTCTTGTCGAACTTTGCTTGCTCCCTAGGGGAAAGAGTGTTGTAGGTCTCAAGAATCGCCACCATTGATGGAATCAGGGGGAGATCAAAGGGAATAGGAGGTAGCACCGGAGGCCTGGAACGGTCAAATTCAGATTCAATGTTGCGAAGAGCCGATGTCATCATCTCGTCGGCTTCATTGGAGACTGTCGGCACCTCATCAATAACTCTTGACGTCAGGCTGTTTCGATCCACGAGCAAGTCATAGAGGGCACAGTGGTCTGAATACAGAGTTTTCAACACGATTCGGTTCAGGCCGCTCTCTGCAAATGGATTCTTCTTGCTGCTGGCTTTAGGAGGCCAGCTACCAAAGGCAGTCTTGTAGTAATTCAAGACAAACTGCCTCATCCGACTAAACGAGTTCCGCCAAATCTTGAAGCGAACTTGCTTAAGCTCAGGTATGGATGACGAATTTGCGATGCCTGCGAAGAGAGACGGGAATTCAAACTGCTCAAGTTGTTCATTCACGCTGTGTTGGCGGTTGACAAGATCCAAATGAGCTTTTTCGAGCCGTTGGCGGGTGATGGGAGAAACTAGTTGAAACAAAGGCAGGCGGAGGTCCATGATTGCCGAATATTTTCCTGCAGCATGTGCAAATGCCTCGTTGTAGAGCTCAACAGACCGCATGCGTTCAGCCAGAATAAGAGCTTCAAGTGTCTGCTCTCGGCTGTGACGACAATCTCCAAGACCTAGTGACTCCGAGTAGAAGCCGAAGCTCATGTCGACGGCATTGCCGAAAGTATAGCCATCAGCGCCTGAGAAAGCAAACTCCTGCAGGAGATCCGAAATCTGGAGGAAGGCATGAAAGGTCCTTGGCCGTTCCGGAGTTCCCACAAGGGGTTGACCTGTGAGGAAGGCGAATAGGTTTCGAATTGCAATCAAACGTTCCAATTCTGTCTTTGAGTTATCCGCGGCGGGCACTGTCAACGAACTTGATGAGGCGTTTGATGGCGGAGGAGGCAGATAGAGATGCAGGTAATCCGAGTAGCTATCCATCGGAATCGTTGGAGATGAGACTCGCGAAGCATCATCGGTGCTGAGACTGTCTCTTCCTATGGAGTTTCTGGCTCGGGCTCTGGCGGCTGTAGGAGACTCCAGCTCTGTTCGAATAAGTTCATTGAAAACAAAAGAAGAGCTCACAGTGAACTCTGGAACTTTGAAGGACGGTCCGCGCCCGGTAGATTTCGGGTACAGATAGACAAGAACTTCACCGTTCTCATTCCAGAGCTCAGGAACCTATTGGTTGCCGCGTTAGCGTTCGTCAGTCAATGCCAGACGAATGGGTGGAATTGTGATTTATACCTTTTCTCCAGTTTTCAGGAAAGTTGGGTTGTATTCCGTTTTGTTATCTTCAGAAATAACCCATGCAGCCAAATTATGGCCCTGGTTGGCGTCCATGGAGTTAGAGCGGGATCTACCAGGCATCCAACTTCGTCGCAGCTTTCTTCTTGTTGGGCTCTGGCTAATGCCAGACACGGGCCGTAAGTTTGTGGACGTAGAAAGCCTTGACCCATCTATGAGTGTCGAGTTGACTCGTGCGGAAACGCTTCGTCCTCTGGGTTCAGGCAGAGGTGCCGTCTGTCGAGTCCTCAGACCTTGCATAGGAGGGAGAGAGTCTTTCCGCTCCGAAAAGGAGATGCTCCGTTGCCTGCTCACATTGATTTCAACATTTCCATTTCCATTCGGCGGCAGGTCCTGTCTAAAGGAATCCTCGCTGTTCTCTGCCGAACTGCGGCTCAATCCAACACTTTCGTCAATCATTCCAAAAGACGACCTCTCTGGCCTGGGCGACGGTGGAGTAGGGTCCATAATGACGGGGTTGACGCGGAGCTGAGCGTCAATTTCGGAGTCAAAATCAATAATAGGGAGTGCTGGAACCGGTATATCGCGGTCAACGACGGGGGTATTTGTGTTTGTCGCGGAATAAACAGAGGGCGAAGGTGGCGTGGGGTCCATGATCTGCGGAGTGACGTCGGCTTCATCCAACGGGCTAATAACGTCAGACTGTGGCATTACGAGAAGCGAAATCTGGGATGCAACGGCCGGTGTTTCTGAAGCAGGATAATAGACCTCAGTCTTTGGAGGCGTCGGAGGACTATGCTGCGGGCATGGAAACGACGATGTATCAGAGTGCTGGTGGTCTGATTCAAAAAGAGTTGGACTATCGCCGGTCAAACTAGAGGAGCTCGTTGACTCGGCCACCGAGTACAATGGCGGCTGCGGAGGAGGTGGAGGTGGAGGCCCCGAGGGGGGTGGAGGAGGAGGATCGAAAGGCGCAGGAGGAGCGTCGAAAGAACCAGCAGGAGAATAATTGATGGGATCAGTAGGAGGATCGAGCGAAGCAACAGGGGGCGCTGCTGGTGGTGGCGGCGGCGGTGGTTGTGATGGAGGCGCCATGCCGGTGATGGGCTTCCTCTGAATAGACATGGGACGGGGGTCTGTGGTTTGGATTGTAAGCGACGGAATCAAGGACGAGATTCGAGTGCTCCAAGGTTTCGTCTTCGATTTGGCCCGTGGGCTGGTTGGAGGCGGCACTGGATCGGAGCTACCCTCAACGATGGGCTCCAAGATCTTTTGCGACCCCTCGGCCGGGGGCTGGCCATTGTCGCGAAGGGCCTTTCGAACAGACGAGTCGGATTCGGATTTCGGTTTCAATTCGGGGCCATTTTGCGAGTGGGATCGGAAGGAAAGAGAGGGTAGAAGAGTGGCTCGAAGGGACTTACTGGAAGTCATATTGGGCTGATATGACCTGTCCGTCCGCAGCAAGCAGCTTGCTACGTACGTACCGGAATCAGCAGAGGGAGGGCTCTTGTATATATCGAGCGAACAAACGTCAAGTGGATCGGTCAAGTGGATTTCGATTTGTCGAGCAAAGCTGAGCGTGGCAGAATGCTAAGCAGCTGCGGCAGGGCAGGGCAGTCCAGCACAGCACAGCACAGTACGTACAGGAGGAGGATTGGATCTCGGAAAGCTCACACCCCCTGTGTGGATAGATTCAGTCCCGAACGGCCAAGAGGAGGTCCCTAGTGAGAACGCTCTCGGTGAAGACGGCGGAAAGAAAGTCGACTAGTCCCGGAGGCGCAGAGCAAACAATGTCCGGAGAGGCGTGCGGAACGGAGTTTTCTGGTCGACGACGATTACTGACTCTCGTGGTGTCTGGATCGAGGTGA